GAGAGAGAGAGAGAGAGAGAGAGAGAGAGAGAGAGAGAGAGAGAGTCCATTTCTTGGTGCCTTACTTTTCCCATCTTTTTCTTCCTGAAACGGTTTTCACCTTTGCAGTAGCAGATGCAGATCCCAGGGCTCGATCCCTAGTCCTTACCCTACCGTGTACAGTACCTGTGTAGACCCCGAGAGTTGAACCCGTGACCTGTGTACTCGTAGGCAACTGGTAGGCCGTCATAGGACCGTAGGTTGTAGGGGTTCGATCTGTAGGTCTGTTGAATAGAAGTCTTAGTGAGTTCCAGAAGTCTTAGCTGTAGTCCTTCTAGAAGGTCGAGCAAGTGGGCAAGTGGGCAAGTGGTGGACCAACTGCAGTACGTTTGCAGTACGATAGCGGTAGGATAGCAGTGTGTCCCCATGTAGTCAACGGTGCAGTCCAGTCAGTCCCAGTCCGGTCCAGCAAGTACCATGAGGGACTGTGTGCACCATGGGCCGATGGAAAGGGGGCAGACCAACGATTTTCAGAAGTATAAATCAAGAGGCAGCGGCCAGCCATTCGTTCATTCCTGCGTGAGCCATGCGGAAGCGCTGCCACAGCGACTTGTGCAAGGAGGTCTGCAGTGAGCCTGGAGCCGAAGTGGGCGAGAGAGGAGTGTAGCATAGCGATAGGGTAGTAGTGGCCATAGCCGCCATAGCTAGAGTTAGTGTGTAGCGTGTGTGTGTGTGTGAGTGCAGAGTAACGCATGTGGGATATCCAGGGTGATCCGGCGTATGCAAACAGAGAGTTGTTTGGGCGCTGAGTCGCCAGTTTGCTGTGCACCTGTTTGCATGCATGTGAGTGTGAAAGAAAGCGAGTCTGATTGCATTCCCCCCTCAGATCACTATTCTGTTTTTTTGACACAGAGAGCTCAATGTAACCCAATTGAGCAAGATGTAGCATGCTATGGGTCAGCTCTGGTGAATCGCCATGTTCCTGCTGATGCCTTCTGCTTTCCCTTGTTTGCTTTCCTTTTTGCGGGGGAAATGGCAATGGTTGCCCTTCTGTCAATGGATTTTGCTAAATATCATGCCAACTGATTGGCTCCGGTTGTCGCATAGATGTCTTCTGCTGTGTACCCGCTCATCTCTATGATCTGCACTTGTGAAAGGATACAAACTTTTTTTGTTTTGTTTTGTTTTGTTTTGTTTTGTTTTGTTTTGTTTTGTTTTCTTTTTAATTAAAAAAGACAGAACCTCTGGTTCTGGCTCCTTATCCATTCCGGGGAGCGTCAGTCCGGTTCCTATTCCACTGGTAATTCAGGAGAATACAACGAGTACACACTCCAATGCTTCTCCCCATTATGGTTGAGAGATCCGAGAGGGCGGCATTGATTGCTTCCTTGGGAAGGGTGCACCACCCCTCAGCCCTGCCTAAGTTAGCCTGTTGTGCTACCGCCTTCACCCAAATAGAACGCCCGGTAATTATCGCCGTATCTGGGCGGAAAGTTGTGCCAAATACAGCTATAATGACTGGGCGTTCTATTCGGGTGAAGATGGTAGTCTCTGAACCTACCCTAATCTGACCGTTATTGGGACTTGCACTTCCCGTACCAGACCCGACCCTCTAGCTTTCCGCTACTTTATCTGGTCGTGCCCAGAAATCAAACCTTGTGGTATTTCCTGTCTGTGTTTGGGATTCACTGCCTACTCCCCAAAGCTTAGCTTAACTTTATACTAGGTCACCATGGACCAGGTTTTCCAAACCCTAAACGCTTAGCGGGAAAGGTTACAAACATGGAGTTTAGTGATCTTGCAAGTTTGAGCTTCAAAGCTTTCCTCCAGTTTGAAACACTTTGTAACCCATGTGAAGCGATTTGTGCTGAATGACAGCCAAATTGATGCCAACTGATTTACCGCATTTTCAAACATTCACCTCCTGCGCGTACCATGACGGCGTGCTTTGCAATCACCTTTGTGTTTACTTGTTCAGGGATGTTGCACAGAGAGGTCTTGAGCCGCCAAAGGAGCAATCACAGGGGGTGTCCAGCCCAACTACAGGTGTCTACCCATCATTTCCGTCAATGGTCGAGTACGTTGTGAAGCAGCTCCCTCGCGCATCGCGTCCTGCACAGTTCTCAGAAGCACTGCTTCTTCCCCCGAAGACATACATAGCATTGGTCCAGTTTCTACACCGTTGCCGTGATGCAAATATCAATTCACGGGGTGGCAAACAAAGTGCTGATGGTATGAAGATTACCGGTAGCTATGATGCAGATAGCATGGATGATGGACCATCATCCAGTGAATCCTACCGTCTTATTCTTGAGCATGCACTTGTCAAAGAAGGAACATCGGAGCTCACCTGTGTTGCTGCAGAGAGTCTCTTGGATTGTGCTTCCACTCAGGCTGAGGTAGGTTCATTGGCTGCCTCAGATGTCTTAAAAAAAATTCTACTCTCTGACCTGCTCCCTCTGGTTTCGCCAGCACCACCATAACAACCCTCGTCGGGGCCTGCTTGGTTTTATGACTACCCTGATTCATCTTTGTGTCTGGTTGTCTTCTACATTTCTTCCGTCTCTGTCTGGCTTATCCATCTCTGAACAATTATGCTCACCTATTTGCAAGCTCTGAAAACATTGAAGAAGTTCATCATTGGCACAGTTTTTTTGAGGAGTCAGCTCTGAAAACATTAAGGAAGTTCATCCTAGCCACAGTTTTTTTGAGGAGTGATAAGTCCATCCAACAGCTCTAGCATCTCAAGTATCTCTTTGGTGCAGCAGACGGATAGACAAATAGACAGGCGCCTTGCTAGGACTGAGGGGTATGTAAGTCCATGATACAATCCTTGAGGGGTCCCCAAATCCCCCTTCTGGAAATTTTTTCCTCCCCCACCTCCCCCACCTCCTCCCGTCCCCTCTATCCCCAACAAAGAAAACGAGGATAGAGTGCGATAGACCCTAACATTGTTTTATGTAGCACGATGCCACAATTTGAATTCTTAGTCTGTTTATTAGCAGTTGTCATTCGACCACTACTGTCTTCCCCCGAATATAACATATGGTATGTCTCGTATGACTACAACAATAGGGTATGTTACTACATTGCCTTCAAATACAATGTAGTGTACCACCTTAATTTATACTTTGTATATATGTTTCAGATGGAAGAAAAAGAAGGCTGGGCTCTTTACATTAGGGCCTCTTCAAATATTAAGTATGCCTAGTACAACCTTTTAAAATACAGCGTAGAATGGCGTGCATAGTGCGAGGATCAGTGTCCTCGGTAGGCCTACTGGGCCCCATCTGCAGCCTTACCCGCCCTAAGTGAAGGCGGAGGTGCCCGCCCTAAGTGAAGGCGGGCCTGGCTTTTTGCAAGAGGCCCKCTTCCCTCAATTTCATATTCGGGGTCCAGGCAGTTGCGACGCACCAGTTGGTTGAAAGAAACACAGGCCGAGTACCGAACACATTTCCACGGCCTACCGGGCCTTTCCAAAGAATGCAGGACCTGGGCGAAATTTGCAGCCTCATACAGAGACAGTTGGGCTCCCAACCGAACGA